CACTTGACCACTTGCCCACTTGCCTACCTTCTAGAAGGTCTACAGCTAAGCTTCCAGAACTCACTAAGATTCCTACGCTATAGACCTACAGATCGAACCCCAGCTGTCTACGGACCTCCGACAGGTCTACCAACTGCCTATGAATACACAGGTCACAGGTTCAATTCTCGGGGTTCACACAAATACTGTACAGGTGTAGGGTGAGGTCTAGGGATCGAACTCTGAGTACTGCATCCGCTTTTACTAAAAGGTGAAAACCGTTTCACACCTGGTGATTCGCCTGCACCGATCCCACATTATGCACCTGGGCCATGACATCTCGGCCCTCTATTTTCCAGCTATGAGTGTGGATGTGTTTTTTCATATAGACAAACAAGGTGACATCACTTGGGACTTGGGCCTGAGCCCAGAGGGAATAGGTAGTGCGTTTTTTTCATGGAATGCATGGCAGATAGAAGATTGGAGTGGAAGGACTGTGCGATGCTCGTGTTTGGGCATTGCCTTAATGTTGTAATCATCTTCGTGAGAAGTAAAGCTCCAGATTGCATTATTATTTTGAGTATTCTGGTGTGCAACGAGCCTTCCATCCGACTGATCCGGCTGATCAAGAGGCAGTTTAAGGACAGCCCCCAAGGTCCTCAGGAATTATTTAACGTCGCAGACAGGACGGCGATCACTGCCAGTATTGGGGAACACCTGACTACGGTCTTAGCGAAGATTGGAGTGGAAGGACTGTGCAATGCTCTTGTTTGGGCATTGCCTTAATGTTGTAATCATCTTCGTGAGAAGTAAAACTCCAGATTGCATTATTATTTTGAGTATCTGGCGTGCAACGAGCCTTCCATCCGACTGATCCGGCTGATCAAGAGGCAGTTGAAGGACAGCCCCCAAGGTCCTCAGGAATTATTTAACGACGCAGACAGGACGGCGATCACTGCCAGTATTCAGATCCCATCCCGCCAGAAATAATTTATAGACAGTCTGGTAGACGTCTCGCATAGGACTGGTTAGTCCACGTTCCCTCTACAGCGCAGCAAGCAGACCAAAGGACAAGCGGCAAAAGCATGCGTGTACTAGTCCCAGCGGGTTGGCATGGTGACCGTGACCCGAGTGCTTCGTCCAGGCCCCTTCAGCGGCAACGCCCGTCTCCCACCAGCTTGCTCCCCTGGAAGAATGTCGACTCTCAAGGTTGAGCGCTCGCGACGCTTCACGAGAGGACTCTCAAGACAGAACTCACTTCCTAATGGGAAGAAGTAACGAAGAGGGTAGATAAGGTAAGGAGCAACACACCTCATAATGCTGCCCCCAACCACAGATTCCTCACCAGTAACCTGACGTGCATTTAGGATGACCGGTCGATGCCTCGGCACAACCCACAATACAATGCAGTTCCACCTTGGCTTAAATTGCCACGTCAGCAACCAGTGTGCACCCCTTATGTCACCACATAGCCTTCCTGGCGCGCCCACATGACCCTGGGCCGCCAATCACCAACGCACAAGCATAACCACTGCCCCACCACATCCACCGAAGCACCAAACAGTTATTGCGAACGAGCCAGCGGGGCAGCTCGAACCAGCTCCGATACCAAATTGCAAGGATAATGAGCAATAGCGAAATGAAAGAAATCCAGAATGCAAATTCACATTGAAGTCCAGAAAGTCCAACGCTGTCCAGAAAGCAGAAATGCACTGATATTCCAGCAATGGAGAACCAAAGTACTGAATCCGAATGTCAATGAGAGCATACTCTTGCCACCACCAACATATGTATCCAGAGCCTGAATCCGAATGTCAATGAGAGCATACTCTTGCCACCACCAACATATGTATCCAGAGCCCTTCCTCCTACTTGGCGCTCAGCGGCAGGACTACTACTACACAGCTACTAGCAGCCTATGAATTGACAATGCATCCCGTTGGCGTCAGCAGCAACAACCGAAGATCACGAAGATGTCGACCTTGTAGACCATCGCCAAGACCAGGTACGTGCCCTCACATCCTCATCCTCATCTCTCTCTCTTTCTCTCTCGTCTTCTCTTACCCACGTCTTCTCCCTCATACACGAAGACCACTACCACCTCCACTGGCTAAATCCAATCCAAGCCTGACTATGGGAGCTGGCTACGGTGCTGCCCTCAGCAGCACCCTGCCTTCTCGCATGACTGCACGCGTGCGCACACTTGCCTATGCACTAGCGCAGCAGCCCGTGAGCGCTAGCTCCAGCAGCGCTGCCACATCTGCTTGCAAGTGCCCGATCCCTCCCCCGGCCCTGCCCTTTCCTATATGGGAAGTGGCAGGCGCTTTGCCTCGCTTCCCACATGAGACCGAGTTTCCAATAGCTTCAGTCTCGGCCAAAGTGTCTGCGTCAAGGCCCGTTCAGACAGTGGCCTGGGACCGAATTGGTTAGGCATGCCCAACCACTGAGGCACAAACGTGTGGTGCTCCCTGCTTACGCCACGTGCCGGAAGAGCCTAAGGCTCACAAATATTTTGGATTCTCACCAGCAACGCGGATGTAACCAACTGGCGAGTGGCAACTGTCTGGCGTCGACCAAGATTTGCAAAAATTGACGAGTTAGGGCGGGCATGTGCCTGATGCAGGTCGTTATGCGGTTATGCCGAGGGATCAAACCCTCGCAAATGAGGCCTATTGCCCAAAATTCATAATGAGAAAGGGCACACCCCTCAACAGGCTGACGGCTGCCATTGCTCGTGCTGGGAGGCTGTTGCAGAAGCCTTTTTATGCCTGCCCGACTTTACCTCTTCATGTTTGCCCTTTCCTGGACCTCATGGTGTATCTTCTTTACAACGCCAGGGCCGAATACTCATTGGTGATGCTCCCCACCAACAGAAAAGAATCTTTCATTCTGTGAAAACAGGGTTATTCAACTTCGTCGAATTTTAATGAAGTTCATTCTACGTCACTATGTTTTTTTAAGAGAGAAAACTCCATCTGGAACTCGACCTCTTTCAGGGTGTATTGCATTTTCCTCTGCTTAGCCCCCCACCTCTGTATCATGGCCAATCGGTTCCATGATCATATCTCAAGCTATGTTGCACGTAGGCGGCGGCCTGGTTCGGCCACGGCCGAGGCCGCCGGCCTAGGCCGGCCTAGGCCGGCCCCCCCCCGGCCGCGGCCGAACGCGGCCGATAATTAAAAAAAAAAAAAAAMGGGTTTCGAGTGGGGCGGGGGTCCCCTACCTCCTCGCAAAAAAAAAAACATAAGAACTTCAAAAACGGGGAGGTGGGTTTCGATGACTAAAAAAAAAATTAAATAAATAGAAAAAAAGGGGGGTAACTTCCTTTTTTTTTTTAACATCTCATTTCCCTGCAAACAACAGATATTCATTTCCAAAAAAAATACACGTAAGTGTGTGTGTGTGTGTGTGTGTGTGTGTGCGTGCGCGCGCGTGTGTGTGTGTGCGCGTGTGTGTGTGTGTGTATGCGCGCGCGATTCCAAGATCGCCGCGCGAATGTGAGTGTGTGTGTGTGTGTGTGTGTGTGTGTGTGTGTGTGTGTGTGTGTGTGTGTGTGTG